GGTAAGCAGTGCACGCTTCCACTCCGCTGCACCTGGGTTTAAGCCCTGGTCAAAGCAACATCGAAAAAAAATATATATAGAAAAAAAGGTTTTTTCTTAACAGCGGTCGTCCCTCCATGAAAAACAGCTTCTCACAAAAATACAATCGCCGTTCGGAGTCGGCGTAAAACTGTAGGTCTCACCGCTTTGTGTGACAACATCAAGGCGCACGCCATAAATCGAAGGAGAGGCTCGGCCAAACACTAACATATGTGTAAGCGCCCATCTATTATTATTATTATACATACATATCGTCGTTTAAAGTACAAAATCGCGTATCAACAAAATGCAAACCCGCGTATAAAGTTAATGCAAAACCGCGTATGCGAGGATGCATAAACAATTTTATAGAGAGTAAAAACATTCATATTTCAAAATAGTTCCCTTTTTTATAAAGCAATCGCATTTGCTCCTAGTATATCTCAAGATGAATGGATAAGGATTAAGCCAAGAGTTTGTGAAAGCAAATCCAATTTTTGGCAGCCAATGTCAGTTACGCGGTTTTGCAGAATGACGATACGCGGTTTTGTACTTTAAACGACGATATGTATCTTTTCCTGTAATAAATATATCGATGGTCCTCTAAAATAACGACACAATTCAAGATTCAAAAAATAAAATTCGTACTATTATTAAGTGGCTCATGTCTTTAATCGTTGTCTTATTCATGTATAATCTTTACTACTTACTTTAGTTAGTATTAGACATGAGTTAGCCAAGGATTAGAGACATGAGCCTCTTAACAGTAATAAGGGATTTAATTTTTTGAATTTTGAGTTGTGTCGTTACTGCAGAGGACCATCCACATGTAAATTCATATATTTTGATATTGAAATAAGTTCGAGCATAAATACGATTTTTAGTTACATACACATATGTAGCGCCACATGGCGGGAAATTTTTATCGAAAGAATTCTTTTTCCTGTTATCAATACATATTTGAATCTGAGGATAATCGGACCATAAACGCGATTTTTAGTGATAACTCGACTCCAACGCTACCTGACGGCTCTTTTTTGCAATGCACATTAGGTCAAATGATTACTTTTTCTGTGCGAAATTAATAGCAGCTAAAATATTGCATTATTTTAATGTAAAAAGATGGAAAACGTTAAAACAAGTGTAAAGGCAGTAAATAAAATGTTAAACAGACTTGGCTTTCGTAAAACAGAACTTACTGCTTTTTTGTATGTTCAAATGATGAGTATATGTTTTAGGTATTACTCAAAAACATTGTCCAATTAGCTTGGTTTTGACACAAGTTATTTTCTTATCATACACAACCCGTTCCTCTTTAAAATGAGCTATATAATAAAATAAGTATGGTCACATGTACATAAATGGTTTCTTCTAGCGATTAGTTATGGCATTATCGAAATTCCTAAATTAAAAAAAGAAAAATATTTACTACATGTCTCGCAGATATGTCTTGAGGAGAGATTCCTAAAGCAGTTTGTCTTCATAAATCACTTCATTTTCACTTGAGGTTTCAGTATTTCCAAATTCTCCACCGATATTATCTATTTATATTCAGAATACAAATGCTGCTTTGTGACACATTTACCGAAAATCGCTGGTAACTTCCTGAAAAGAATACGAATGTTTATATAACTAATTTGTTAAAAGAATGTTCAAAGCTCTATTCACTTTGAGTAAAAAAAAT